TCCCCTCTGTAACCTCATTCCTCTGCCTATTTTATCTGCCAACATGTTATGTTTCCCCTACCACTATACTGCCCGCAATGAAATCAGATGGAAAGATGGTCTTTTTCAAAGGTGAGGATTGCCATCATCACTCACAGGTAGGACCAGACTTCTCCAGCCATTATTCCTGAGGCCATCATCAGCAGGTTTCATAGGTCCCAGGACATAGCTACTGCCAAGGCTATAGGAAATCATACAAAGTCAAGTGAAATAAAAATTCACATAATCCTCCCCATCTATCTTTAGGTCTACTTCCCATCCCCAAACTCATTGTGGTCACCCTGACCCTGTCACTTCCTGACAAAGACCTAAACTGCCAGTGACAAGAGCAATGAATAAAAACACTAAGAAACACCCCTTTATAGTGTGCCAAGTGAGCCTGTGCTTTACTTTCACCTAATAGTCTTTCTGAACCTGGCATTTTTTGTGAGAATTAAATCATCTAAATTCCCTAGCAGTTTTATTTGCATATATTGATTCACTGAGAGTCGGGAAGTTTAAATTGGAAGGATTGATTGGTGCAGTGTTAGCTGTAATCAATATGGCACCTTTAAATGAATACAGTCATCTTACACTTAATTAGAGATGACTTGGTTATTTCACAGAGCATTTCATGTCAGGACAGGTATCAAATGTAGCTGTTCAATTTGCTGCAAGAGGAAGCATAACTAGAGGAGGATTCTGATTTGATCCATAAATGTATAAAAGTAGACTGAGAAGAGTAAAAATATGGAAGTGGCCCAACACTGCTTGAATTACCATAAGCTTTTTTAACGAAAGGAAATCAAACAGTTGACAGAACGGGAAGAAAATGCCTTTTTCTCCAATGCCCACAATCAAAAATAGCGTGTGGGGCAAGATGCACTTCTCTGCTCCCTCTGGAAGAGACACGACTCCCTGGTTCCCTTGGGAAAGGGACTCCAAGACCCTCCACGCTGCGTCGCTTTGCCATCTAAGGGACACCACGCTAGCATCTCCACAGCTAGCTCTGTGTTTTGGAGGGGGAAAAAAATGCACCATAAAGTAAAGAAGTTCCAAGTTACTTGAGGCTGCAGTTCAATATCCTGCCCTGGATTTGGTACCCGATGAGCAGCTGGTGAATATATCAGCACAAGCCGGACAGTGGAAGGTACATGCACAAGCGACTCCCTGGGCCACTTCCCTCCAGACAGTCCAAAGGCCCTTTGAACTGTAGAGGCTCCTGCGTTTTCTGGAGAAAAGGCAGTGAGGTGTTTGCTAGATCTCTTGACTCAAAGGTAAAGTAGCCAACGCCATTCAAGCATGCACAGGGCCACTTGTGTGACAGAACCTGTGTGCTTCCAGGACCCGCCCCCCCCTTTTAAAAAGTGTCAAATATGTCCAAGCTGCCCAAAATAATGATCATCCTTGCAGGACAGAGTGGTGAAGAAGTAGGTAAGAGGCTGGCAGTAGCAACAAGTCTAGCCTAGCTGGGTCTTTAATTTTTTTTTTTATCAGACAGGGAGTGGATTTTATTGGCTGAAACTTGCTTGCAAATGAGCTTGAACTATAATTAAATTATCTTGAGCTATCCTTAAATTCAACTCAAATTCACCAAATGGCAGAACAACTTCAGGAGAAGTTTCCTAAGGAAGAGGCAGTGCAGGGAGCAGTTTTCTGGTCTAGGTTCACAGAAAATGAAGTTGGTAGTTTAGCTGTCAGTCAGCCGCAGGTAAGTGTTCAGCAAAAGTATGAATGTCTCAGACATTTTTTTTCCCCTTACTTGAAGGGACCTGAACACAAAGCACTCTCAGAATAATACCCTAAAGAGTTGTCTGTATGGATATGGGTTCTTCCCTCAGTCTCATCTGCTGATGCTGTTCCACATTTAAAAAAAAATAAAATACTTCAGGGTGCCCTGAGGTTGAGAGACAGCAAGAATGAAAAACAGTTACCTTCTGTGGCGGTAACTAGAGCACGTACCAGTGAGGTGGAACTCCACAAGTCTGCTTCAGGAGGCAGTGAATATTCGAGTATCCTATATAAAGTGGAACAGCCTCACCAGGAGGAACGGATGCAGTTCAGCCCAGAATACCCTGTCGGTCGTACACAGTTAAGGCACTTAGCTAGGAGAGGAGGGTGATATCGAGAAGGGTATCAGACCACAGCCTCCATGTTCTGGTCAGCTTGTGCTCTAATCACTGAGCTGCGGAGCAACAGAGAGCAACGGATCTTCGTGCCATTTGTGATCACAAACGGCTGCAAAATAAGATGCTGGTTTTTAAATCAAACAAAAAACTGACCTGATCCAAAACAAAATTACTTATTTTCAGTGAAAAAAAAATTAAAAAAAAAAGATGACCAGTTTGTTTATTACCACTCACTCTATCTGACAGCTTTTGCAGACGTTCCAATTACCTTTTTTCTTCTTCTGCGTTCTAAGCATAGTAATGAATGTGTGAGCTGCATACCAAGAAATGAGTATGGTTGGACCCCACAAGAGGAACCCCAAGGATCCTGAAGTGCAGAGGTCCCTGGAGCAGAGGAGTATTGGGTTAAGAAAGCTCCAAATATAACATGGTGACATGCCAAGAGCAGCTTGGGTGCTTTTTTCCACCCCTCCCTGAAAGTGTGAGGAATCAAATTACCCAGCAGTTCCTTCCCCAGCCTGGTTGTGAGACACCACAACTCCCAGCATCCCCAGGGACTGCCCAGGAGCCCCAGCCTGGCATCTCCCGTGTGGGGCATCTGCCCAAGGTTACATCAGGAAATGCCAGCACTGAGACTAGCACCCTGCGCTCCTGACGTTCAATTCCACTTGACTTCACTTAATTCATGTGCCATTTAGTATTGAATATTTAGTGACAGATTCCACAGTTGCACATGGGCAAAACACAGCTGAGTGCTCATCAGGCATCTTTATTAAAATTTTATTATGTAAATTAATTGCATACATAAGCACTGGCATAGCACGTTAGAGTGCAAGCTTTGCAGATTCTTGAAATGCATGTAACTTTCTGGAATTTTGCAGTTTGAAAATGTTTCCTTTCCCTTCCAGAAACGCCAAAGAATACAAACAGGTTTTTCTTACCCCAGGGCAAGGATATAAATCATTCAGCACAGAAAAAGGCCACCCAACATAACGAAGGAAGGAAGCAGTGCGCCAACCTGTACCACACACAGTTCCATGGCACACCTCAGGAGCACAGCAATGTTAACTAAAAAACATGTTATCAACTCACCAGTGTGCTTTCTGAAGCACAGTCCATAATTTCAGGGCAAATAATAGCTACAGGTTTCCACAAACCCCTCTTAATTATTTCCAAATGAATGTTCTCTGTAGCTTAACCAAGGAGGTATTTATTAATATCAAAATGTCTCTTTTCTTCCCCTCCGTTTGTTCATGCCATTGGTCATCAGCTATCATCACCCCCACGGCGACCTCTGAGCCTGTTTCTTTGCTCAAGTCAGGCTGGCAGCTGTTCTTTCTCCTGGAGCACCTATCATGGGAAAAGACTTGATCTCAACATCTGTCAGCTTCAAAACCCCTCAGAAACAAACTCCAGAACACTCAGTCGTAATCCCACACCAGGTAGAAACGGAGTCCAATACCGTGTTATGGCATCTCCAGCCTAATGTAGCTTTGCCGGTAGTTTAACTCCCCAGATGCGAGGTTCATGTGATAGAGACGCCTGAGTTTAGTAACTCCGACGCTTCTCTACCTTCCTCACGCTCCACATCAGGAAAAAAAAAAAAAGTTGCGGTAGAAGCATTACTCATCAGTTCATAGCGTTAACGAAGATTACATCTGCTAAGCCGACGTGCTGCAGCAGGCCCTGAGGACTCTGACACGCTCAGCCTCCCCTCTCCAAAACCACCGCCCGCTGCCGCCCGCTGCCCAGGGAAGCGATTCCTTTCAAAAGCCACTCTTTCAGAAGACCTCCTTCCCCTTCCCATTACGCTTCCTGGCCCACCAGATCCCACTCGCGCGGCTCGGACAGACGCCCTGGTGCCTTTAGCTGGGGCAATGCAGCACCGGAGGGAGCGGTGGCCACCGATAGGGCCGCAGAAGAGGAGGCAGCCGGTGGGGCTGCGTGTCCCGAGCAGAGGCGAGGCAGGCGCCAAGCAGACCCCGGCGACGCCGCACAGGGGTTGAGGTAGGAAACGAGGGGCCCCGGTGCTCTGCGGAAACAGGTATTTGCGAAATTAATGGGCAAATTAAAACAATTAAGCTACACTTCCTGCCAGTTGCTTGCAGTAACGAATTTTTATGCTAATGAAATGAGGCACGTGATTTCCCCCCTCTGCACTGGAGGAAAAGCAGGGGGACGGCGTGGAGTGAGGAGCAGACCCTGTGCACCACGCACCGCTTCACCGCCTGGCTCTGCGCTCCCTGGCCAGCGTTCGGCTGTCGGGTTTTTCTGAATAACTGTTTTGCTGCGGTGCCACCTCCCTCCCTCAGCGCGCCCTGGCCCTTAGCTGCAACCCCAGCGCCTGCGAAACGCACGGCCTTCTCCTCCTCACCCAGGAGGGCTGCACGGGCTGGAAGTGCCGCCGGCTTCAAAGGCTGCACGAGCTGGAAGTGCCGCCGGCTTCCAAGCTGCACCGCCGGGTTCAAGGCACAGAGCCGCTGGCCTCTTCCAAGACCAAGAAAGGAGAAGTGATTAAATATCTCGCGGCATGAAAGACTTCCATCACTAGGTTTTTTTTCCTGCAATTCCTAAAACGAGAAAGAAATGAGACCTGCACCCCCCTGCCCTGATTAGCGGTCCTAAAGCCAAGCAAATGGAAACAGCCTCAACAGTTCCCAGCATCATCGCCACCAGGAAATCCTCAGCCAGAAAGTAAACA